GGGCGCAGCCTGGAAACCCACCGAGCTGCTGCTGCAGCCCTTTTCCGGTTTTATTTTGCTGCGGTATTTTCCCCGATGCGAAGAAGAAGCGGGCGTTGTCAAGGCCGGAGAGGTGTAACTGGCTTGCGACCGGGGGCTGTGTTTCTTCGCCCCCTCCTTATTCATATAGGGGCTTTCAAATGTGCCGCGGGCTGGACTGCGGCCGTGACAGCCTCTGTGGCGAGCCGCTACGACCCCTCCGATAACATCTGCGACGATGAAGGAAACGGAAAACATGAGGCAGAGAAAAAGTAATAAAAGGTACGGGAGATATCGATCAGAGCACCGGTCTCCAAAGCCAGCATCATTATTGCTTAATTAGCTTTGGAGAAAGAGGGTCTCCAGATAAAGGACACAGCAGGATCTTATATGTATTTTTCCTCCTGTCCCCCAGCAGTTGTTTATGCGTTTTGTAAAGCGAGTTTTAGAGCAAATGCAGCTTTTGTGTCCTCCCTGAGCTTTTAACTGCTCAGACTGCCCGATCAGGGGTTATAGCCTTTTCTGTTTGATCAGCTCGTTGAAAACCGCTGTAGCCCAAAGTGCCTTTCCCAAGACTAAGCTTAGAGCCCGCTAAAAAGCACCAGCGTTTTGCCGATTTTGCATTTGTTGGTTCGATTAGATTTTTTCGCGCACAAATAATTCGTATTAAAAAAAAAAAAAAGGCTCTCGACTTATGTCACTTATTTCCCTGCCAAAATGGTTGCATGTTAGGCGGCGATTTATCTGGGCTCCGCTGCCAGACGGGACTTTCCTAGCTTGCTGTAATTAAGACATTTTCGTGGCGACTGTGCCGAGCCTGGTTTTCCCTTTCCCCCCTCGCCCTCCCTCTCCTCCCCGCTTACTTTTTCAAAATTTTATTTTGCCGGGGGGATTGTGTCGTTGCTTTTGCCCCGCGGCGGTTGCATCTCCGTCGCGACAGCCCTCTGCAGCGCTGAGCGGGAGGAAGGGGCTGCTCTTGTCCCCGGTGGGTGCTCCGCGGCGCCCGGGGGAGCGGGAGGCAAG